CAATAATGTATACTGCATTGAAACAGATGAGGGAGAAAACTGTTTAAAAGGGATATGTGATTAGGTATTTTTGTCATGAAAGGAGTCTAGAGCAAAGGTTACACGGTGGAGTGGACCTGGGGGAGGGTTTGCAAAACAATGAAAGAATTTTTCTTCTACTTTTCCAAGTAGAGGGTTGGGAGGGGAGAAAAGTGCAACAATGAATGAATGGAAATCCAAAGACTGTCAATTTTTACTGAAATTAATAATAAATTTAAATTTAAAAAAGAGCTGAAGTGTGTCAAAGATGGTGAGGTTGTCACAGGATAGCGCAAGGTTCAGTGTCATTGTTTATAGGGTCACTATGTTGACTATAGTCAACTTGAAGGCACAGAATAACAACATCAAGAGAATATGATTCATGCTTATTCATAAAAGAGAAATGTCATCTGAGATTAGTCCCTGTGGAAGAAATTAACTAAACACATGTGGAGTTGGTCTCTTAAGAGAACTATTCTCGAAGTGCAGCAATGAATGAATGGAAATCCAAAATCTCTGTAAATGTTCATTAGAATTATTAAAATAAAGAAAAATTACAAAAAAAAGATAACTACTCTCTAAATCATACAAGGGTCTTCACAGGACACGTTCAAAGTAATCAGCAGTAAACTATATAGTAAACAGCATGGTCTTCAGGATGGCTGATCTCTAGGTCGTATAGGATCTTCATGGGACATGTTCAAGATAATCACCTCCCAGTGCAGATGCTTTGCTAACCAGAGCATGAACTTGCAAGATGCCTGTAGTCTAGGTCAAACAGGAGCATTCACAGGACAAGTTCAGGGTGGCCAACTCCTGGTGAACCATATGGTAAGGGGAGAATCGTTATTCAAGATGGCTGCTCTCTAAAAGGGACACTTGTATAACCCCTGAGATTTCTTAGCAGAGGCAAAGATCAATAAAAGGAAGCATCTGAAGTTTCCCTTTTAGTACCATCTTAAAGTGTATTTTTTTAAACTTTATTATGAATTTCAATGAAAATTTACAGAGACTTTGGATTTCCATTCATTGTTGAACTTTTCTCACCTCCCAACTCTCCCCCCCAATACACTTCACTCTTGGAAAAGTAAAAGAAAAATTCTTTCATTGTTTTACAACCCCTTCCCCTAGGTCCACTCCACTATGCAGCCTTCGCTCTGGACTCCTGTCATGACAAAAATACCTAATCACATATCCCTTTTAAACAGTTTTCTCCCTC